ATTATCCTGCTGAACAAAATGTGTTGTTACCATATATGAGTTTGCAAAAGATTCTGCAATACTCCAAAATTCTATGGACAATCTGCGAGGGAGTCCGTGCGATGCTAACCTCTGAGCTGGCCTACAATGCACCACCCTATTCTGTACACAACCTCTATTTTCTTGTAGTAACTGTGTGATGCTTTTTTGGGCCACGATGTCTTAGTGCAATGTTTCCATTACCCCTCACTGACTGAGTGAAAGAAGCAGACATTCAGAGTCCCGATGATGTATAAGAGAAGTAGTAATTTACTAAAAAAGGACTGCGCTTAATAATAAAGTTACACATCACTGCACATGTTGCTAAGCTCTCTGCTTATGTGCTAGCACTTTGACCACAGAAAGCTTTGTAAATAGAGACAGGGGGGGAAAAGAGGCAGCTGTGTCCCTGCATTTTTCCTCTTGGTCAGCACATCATCAGTGCCAGCCTCACACATTCAGTTAATGGACAGATTTACTGCAGAGCCCTGGCTCTTGTGATAAAGAAGACATCCAGCAGCAGTGTCTGTAGCTGCCCAGCACACAGCTGGGTGTGTGGCCTGGTTTACACACACTGTTTCTGTTACTTACTTTATTGTGAGGGATCTTTCCCCCAGTTACTATGGCCTGCTCTAAGAGTCACTTAGGAATTCAAAACTTCTGTCGCATCAATAAATACTCTAATTTCTAAAATATTCAAGGCTTGTTGAGATCCCTATGTTTTTACAGTATGTTATGTCTATAGAGTGGTGTACAATACAAGGCATGCTACTTGAGGAAAAGACTATGGTAACAATTTATTGAGCAAATGCAATGCCATATTAAAGTGAACGTGCACTGCACTTTGAGTTACTGTTGTGTCATTTTTTTGTTTCATACGAACCCTGACCTACTTCTGGCCTGCAGAACAACAAAAAGGAAAACAGTTCATTTATTCCTGAGGTGCGATCAGGTTTCAGTGCAGTGTCAGCAGGATTGTGTTAGCTGAAGGCCATACACACTTACCCAATATATCTGTTAAGATTGGTATTAGGATTTTATCATACAATCAATTAAATGTATTCACACTCTTTTCAATCTTTTTTTGTTTGTTCTTGTCAATTTGACCTACAAGACCCAATTTTACATTTTATGCTGTGACTCAATTTGGATACTTCCCTTCGTACACTGTATGTTGTGCACCGGTAAAACATGCACAGTGTGTGACTTCAACCATGTACTGTTGTCTCATATTGCTGACTGCTGCTGTCCCCACATCGGAAGTGACATTGCTGCTGTTAGCTAGCTATCTACAGTAGTAAGCAATGTTATCGTTCGCATGAATGAACGGTGGCTTCTTTTTCAACCCTAGGTTGAAAGCCCTCGATCCTGGGAAATCTAAAAACAGGTTTAAAATCCAGATTCAGGGAATCAAAAAACAGGTTTAAATATCCTAGGTTAAGGGTATCTAAAAACAATAGGTTTCAAATCCAGATTTAGGTGATCTAAAAAAGAAAGGGAAGTTGCTTGGAAACTTAAGATCTTGGGGAGGAATTAATAGAAAGCTCTATTTCTTAATAATAATAATAATAATAATAGATTTATTTTGTTAGCGCTTTTACAGGTGCTCAAAGTCGCTTTACAAAGATAGTGAAAAGAAAAGAACAAAAAATAAATATAGTTAAAGTCAAATTAAAATCAAGCAATACAAAAACAATCACACATTAAAAGCCAGATTGAAGAGGTGAGTTTTTGTAAGTTTTTTGAAGGTGGTGAGGTCAGAGCAGTCTCTGATGGGTTGTGGGAGTGAGTTCCAGAGGGAGGGGGCAGCGACGGAGAAGGCTCTGTCCCCCCATGTCCGGTGACTGATGCGGGTGGGGATGGATAGGAGGTTGGCTTCTGATGAGCGGAAGCAGCGGGAAGGGGTGTGGTGGTGCAGCAGGTCTGTGAGGTAGGGGGGGGGGGGCTGATTGTTGAGGGCTTTGTGAGTAATGAGGAGGACTTTGAAGTCGATTCTTTGACGGACGGGGAGCCAGTGGAAGTTCTGGAGGACGGGAGTGATGTGGTCTCGGGAGCGGGTGTGGGTGAGGAGGCGGGCAGCAGAGTTCTGGATATGTTGAGGAGGTTGGATGGTATGCCGTAGAAGAGCAGTGGTTCTCAACCTTTTTACACCAAGTACCACCTGAGAAAATAGTTGGCTCTCCAAGTACCACCATATGACCAATGTTAAAATACAGTCTATGCACAGTTCATGCAGGACTCGGAGGCAAATGTATTCATAATAACATTATTTATTGTCAGCCACAGCTACATGTACAAAGGGCGGGCGGGCAGACTCTCTCTCTCTCTCTCTCACTCACTCTCTCTCTCTCACTCTCACTCACTCTCTCTCTCTCTCACTCTCTCTCACTCTCTCTCACTCTCTCTCTCTCACTCTCTCTCACTCTCTCTCTCTCACTCTCTCACTCACCACAAGTGAGAACATACTGTAAAGAACAAAATAATAACTTATTCTCACACAACAAATGACAACTGTACATACATGTCATTTCCTATACCAAAGTTTGAATGTAGGCCTCCTGCAACAACCTACATTGTAACAGAAAATGTCCTATTGGGAATTGAGTTCCACAATAATAATGAAAGCCTCCAGGAGCAGATGAGCCTAAGGGCTAATAGCTCATCTTCAGTCTGCTGATATTTGCTATTGCCATTTCTGTGGTGGCAAAAAATAAAATAAAAAAGATAACAATTAAGGACAAGTGTGTGCTTTTTCAGCTTTTGACCTCGGTCACAGCCTTCTCTCTATTCTTTGCGCAAATGCCTTCTTCCTGAGTCACTTCTCTCCTCCATCACAGCGTTGTGACTGTGCATATCACTTTTGCGTTGCTGGCGGAGCCTGCGCTTGTGCTCGGTTGATGACTGTCCTCCTCCTCATTCACTTGTTCACTTTCGCTGGTAATATTCTCCTCTGTACCTCTCTTCTGAATACCTCCCGTTATGAGACACTTTTTTAACATCATTCAGCTTTCTTCTTTCTTTAGCTTGCTTGCAACGTTCGATAATCGTTCGCGGGTAGTATGGTCGTCATTAGCAATGCCAGAAATAATAAAAAAAAAGATGTGTTGTATTTTGATAGTATGATTTATTTTTTAATTAATGTTATTCAATCAAGCCTCAAACTGATGGCACTTGTCCCTATAGCCTGTTTTAAATTGAAGTTGTCTGAGGTCCTTACCACCAGCTGCTCTTGCAGTAATAAGTAGTGTACCTTTCTTACTGTCCTAATGTGCACAATGTAGTGACTGCTTTTCGTATTTTTGTTTACTTGGTTGTGTTTTCTGTATTTTTACGTCTGTGTTATGTGTAAGAACCGTTGCTGCCTTCTTGGCCAGGTCAGCATTGTAAATGAGATGTTGTCTCAATGTTTTCATCTGGTTAAATAAAATGTAAAAATAAAGAATTTTTTTTTTTTTAATTAATATTTTTTATATTTCAGATTCCTCCGCGTACCACTAGCGGGAGCTGGCGTACCATCAGTGGTACGCGTACCACAGGTTGAGAACCACTGCCGTAGAGGATGCTATTGTAGTAGTCGAGTTGTGATGTGATGAATGCATGAATCAGGGTTTCAGCAGCAGAGGAGGAGAGTGATGGGCGGAGACGGGCAATGTTTTTGAGGTGGAAAAAGGCAGTCCTGGTGATGTGATTGATGTGGTGAGTGAATTTGAGCTGACTGTCGAAGATGACTCCGAGGTTGCGGATGTGAGGGGGGGGGGATAGAGTGTTGCCGTCAAGGGTGAAGTTGAAATTCTGGATGGTTTTGGTACGGGATGGGGGGCCGATGATGATGATGTCTGATTTGGCACTGTTCAGTTGGAGATAGTTTGTTTGCATCCATGCTTTTATTTCTGAGAGACAGTTGGTGAGAGTGGAGTGTGTTGTGCGGGTGATGGTTTTTGTTGAGATATAAAGTTGGATGTCATCGGCGTAGCAGTGAAATTGAAGGTTGTGGCGACGAATGATTTTGCCAAGGGGGAGCATCTAGAGGATGAAGAGGAGGGGGCCAAGCACCTCTTACTGTCTTTTATTTTTGTAAAGCACTTTGAATTGCCTTGTGTTGAAAGGTACTATATACATAAACTTGCCTTGCCAGTATAGTTGTATGTGTTTTTTTTAAATAGTTAAAGTATAACTTTTATTGGTGTAATGTTGTGTTTTTTGGCGCAACCGTATTATGGTGGTCAAGTATTTTCAAGATGGCGGTCATTAAGAGAAAGAAGTGGCCAGCATTCCACACAACTTTTTGACTGTTATCAGTGCACCTTCGGGGTTATCATAGTGCACTGTCCTACATTGCATCAGAACTCAAATATGCACTCGAATCCGTACATGCAAGTACAGAGGAACACGGATTGAAACACAGCATTACTCACACAGACAAACATTTCTGCTGCAACTCTCCAGAGATCCGTTGACTGAGATGTAAGCTAAGACAGCCCTAGCATTCAGCACAGGCACTGTAAATACTATGGCTTAAGCACCTGTGATTACCATAATAACCATTGTTCTTCACAACAATTACTACAGTTGAAGTGTAATAAGCAGTTTGGATGTTTGTCTATTTCATGACTTAAGTAAGGCTTGAACTGACTTGGTGGAGCCCGGGTTAGAGTTTGGGGGTTGGGGCTAGCTGCTACCAATGTGATGTTTAAGGTTTAAGACCTTAAGCTTCTTTTGTTCAATGAAAAGACTTTCACAGAAAATCATGCTCAGCATTCTAAAAAGTAAGTTGTCAAAAAATGATTGCATTGGTACCAAAATATTAGTAAATTAAATATGACAATCCATCTACAACTGCATACAATAATAGTAATACAATAAGGTTGTGGCAGTAACAGAACAGTGTTGCTATGTTTTTTATACACAACTAGTCATATATTTAACTACATATTAGCATATTAACCTGATATCCATACATATTGGTCAGAAATAATTCTTACCCTTGAGCTGTCTTCTTGGGAACGCTGGTAGCGTTTCCAGCGGCAACCATAGATCCCAGTGACGAAGGACACAAAGAGCTGCTTCTCATAGACCTGTAATGGTTGGTGTTTCACCATGCTCCTGCAGCCAGTCTCTTAACATCCCACACAGGACTGGGAACCCTGAAGAAAACACAACATACTTTCAGAAAATTAACTCGCTTTTCATACATACAATTATATATTCCATCAACATACCATGTCACGTCATGTTGCTCAGGTGTTTTTCACTAAACAAAATGAATATGTTGACAGTCATGTGCCTTGTTTGGAGTTACAACACACTATTCAATAGTGACTCACATCAGGGACAGACATAATAATATGGTATATGCTTTACAGTCAACCTTAAGGTAGGCAGCTTTTATCTATGGGAGCGTCTTGATCCTTTAACAAGAAGATCATCGGAGAGAGGGGAAAGAGTGAGATGAAGTCAGTGTGTTGCTCCCATACTCCCCGCTGCCTCAGAGAAAAGCTTGTTGCCTTGGTGGCAGGTAAAAATGTCTTTCAGTATTCAAACGACTTAATTCATCCCAAGTAGGGCAAGTTTATTCCAGCTTTACCCAGTCCATACACAACATCCAAACTCACAGGCAAGGAATTTTTCATAGTCAACAGTAAATACAAAAACGTTTTAATAAACTTCAAATAACCAAGTTTTCTGGAAAGGTTGGTTTTGTGCCATGTCTTCTTTTGTAGTGATCCTTGTTGCTCCTTTTTCCTTTTAAAAAAAAAGCATTTTCAACCCATTTCTTTATTTAGAAGCTTGTATGAAATGCATGATTGTAGCAAATGTAACATACAGTACACTGTGTGGTAGCTACATGATGTCTTTCAAAAGCTGGTTACAGAGAACAAAGCATGTGGCCTTGAGGGCCTTTCTGTTCTGGGTGAGTGACAGTTAAAGATAATGTTGATTTCCAAATAATTATATATTTTTTCTTTTAGCAGCATGGTGACATACCACAATTTAAATCTTAAAAACTCATTGAGTATTGTGTGGATTTAAACATTTGTTTACAGACATTCATGGTCCCTAGAGGATGAATCCTTGTCATGGTTTTTATATTCATTTTATTTTTAATAGTTTGCTTGTTTGTGTGATTCTTCTTCACTCCCATTTGCCTGCTCTCTCGTCAGTACATCCTCCTCACCTACCAGTCATCTGCTCTCACCTGCTCTATTCCTCAGCTAGTACGTATACACACACCGATCAGACACTGACCAGATTGTCTTGGTGCCACTTGCCAAAGCTTTCCAATGTTTTTTGTGTCTTAGTCTACCAGTATCTGTGCTCACCTTTGCATGTTTTTTCCCGGACTCAGATTTGACCTGGTCCTAAACTTGTGTTTGCCTGATTGGATTTATGTATCTTTGCTCTACTTTTTATAAGTAAAGACTTTGTGGTTTGCACCTGCCTTTGCTTGAATCATGCTTTGGGGTTTTGGTCCTTGAGTTGTGAAAATTCTCATGACTTCTCTCTGGTACCATAATAAAATACATTTTTAGTTCCAATTTAAAAAACTTGGTTTGAAACCAAATACATACAAATACCCATCCGTATGAGGGTAGGTGTCCTCAGTCATTTGAATGAGGCCACTGCTTTGTGATGAGGGCCTGGCATTGTCACTAACAGAACCATTTGTTCCTGTGGGCTCCACTGTTCCGGACAGATAGAGGGAGATCAATGTGAGTTTACGGGTCAACAGACCTCACCAACAACAAACTGCTCCTTTGTACTTATCACTTGTCTTTAAGCACTTGACAAATCGCACCATGACAGTGTGACCGAGCTAATTGTGTTTCTGGCTAGCACTGTTCCATTTACAAGCAGATCCATAGAGAAACAAGACCTGTTTCTACAGCCCTGAAGCAGCTCAGTGAGGCTGCACTGAGACCTAGCAGAGCTTTGAGCTAAATGCTAAAATGCAAACACAGTAAATAGCATTTGTAACACTATTCTAGTTTTCAAACACACTAAATATTCCTGGATCCAGCACTTTCATCAACACTTGACAGAAAATACAAATGTGTGCACTGTGTCTTTGAGGGAAAGTCTTTAACAGTAAAACCACTGTGACACGACAACACTAGACTTCATTTGTGTTTCGATCAACATGCATTTACCTAATTAAAATATGCATTAATGGTATAATATAAATGTTTAAGTATTTTTAGCTAATTCCTACCTATTAGTAAATTCATATTGTATATGTAAATAGTCAAACTTTAGACTTTATAGATATTTTAGAATCATTAAGATTTAGGCAGATAGGAACAGCTGTGACATCCATCTTAATTTTTAGGTGGCACCTTTGTTTTGTAGAGTCTTTAATTGGAGGCAAATGTGTTTGTGACCAGTCTAAAATCAGTTAAATATGCAGATATTCTGTTGTCATTGGCCAAGTCTTTCAATAAGCCTTAAGTAATGTAAGACATTGGTTACAGCTTCCAGCAATTTCCATCTCACAAATAACTTTCTTTGTTAAAAGTAATTATGACATTTACTACAGATGTTTTGCAAGGAGTCAGCAGTGTTAGCTGATTTACTTACAGTAGCAGGACCTGTGCTGTTGATTGGATGTAATCTGCTGGTCATTTTCTTAACGTATTTGTTATGGTTTCTTTTTTAAATGACTGCATGTAGCACTTTTACAGTCTTTACCACTAGTAAGGGTCTTATTCACCTGCTGAGGGAGACCAATATTCACACACAGTCCCGCAACATTGGCCATGCCATCAGGAGCAATTTAGAGTTACACCTTACCAACAGACACATCAACACGTTGACTGCAGGAGCTGGAACAACTGACGTTCCAATTGGAGGATGACCATCTACTTCCTCAGCCTAAGCCGACCATAACATAGTCCTGTTAGTACAGTATCATCTCTGTATCAGGACAAGCGTCGAAAATGTACTTTGTTGAATTTTATAGATGTCCAATAATTCCTCCGCCAGGTTAGCTGAATTTACAACAAAGCTCTTCCAGGCGGCCTTAGACCACTTCCCTCTCATGAACCTGAGAGGATTTTACTACTCTCCTTTCCTCCCTGCCAGCTTCCAGAAGTTCCCTGGTGAGTGTCAGCACGCCTCCAAGGCTGAGGAACCTTACTGTGTCATAGCTGTCATTAAGTAAAATGTATGTTCTCATTGAATGATAATACAATAATCCACCGAGTCTCAGCCAACCAATTGCCAGTGAGCCTCTGACAAACGAGTCTATTATTAGGCTTTTATCTCGGTCACTGTCGCCTCATTAGAGGCTCCCATCTTTCACTCCTTCATGAAATGTATATATCCATGCATTAAAAGTATCCTTAATCTTTCTGTGGATTAAGCCAAAAATAGAGTTTCCATTAGTGCCACTAGCTGATTAATCATGTGGCGTATGAGGGCCAGAACCCTGTGCTAACCTGCGTCCATCTACTCGTCACAAGCTGCTGCTGGTTAGAGTGAGAGTCTGTCGTCCTGCCCTGCACATCAACAGCCAGTTCTGTGGAAACCTCAGACTTATTCAAGATGGTTCATTCTAACGGATGCAGCAGGTGGCCCAGCAGGGAGCCAACCACTGAGCGAGATGCCTATATATTGATGCAGGAATCAGTCCTAAAACCCAGGAATTAGCTATCTTTTTACCACTTCCGGTTCCCTCGTCTCAAAGTCAAGGTTTTAAGCTAGATGCCTGGAATAAAAAGTATGGTCAATCAACATCAGTAAATATCCCTCTGCTGAATGTACAACGTCTCTATGTGTCTTAAAAACAGCAGATGGTAACAAGTGACTAAATGAGAATACTAAATGTCATCAACAATATAAACAGTGGTGACGCGCAGTCATGGGACTACTTTGTTTATATGCTAATGTGAGCTATTTACTTCTGACAATTTTATTTACGCTTCAAAAACCAACAGATGGTGTTAATATGTTGAGATTGTCTTGCTTAGCAAAATGTGCAAGTATCATTAACATGTGTTTGGCAAAGATCCTATTTTCTGTTATCAAAATCCAAGGTAGAAATCCCATTGCTTTTTGTCGCGTTGTCACGTCTGCGTTTACCTACAAATATACAGTACGTCATCACTGTACCCCTCTATTGGAAGTCAAATATGTCTTCTGCTAACCACATGTAAAAGCACATGAAGACACACACATTAAAGCTTGGTTCATTGGCTTATCAAATACTTGACAACTGGATATTTGCAGAGCAAATGGATTACATCATATGTTCAGTAATTGACCAAAAGCCTCAGTGTTTACCATGCCATAAGATGCATACATGATGGGACATGGAGTCGGATGCAAACCAGTAATGGAAAGCAACTAAGTACATTTACTCAGGTACTGTACTTAAGTACAATTATTGACGTACTGGTACTTAAGTATGATCACTTTATGATACTTATACACTTACATACTACTTCTACACCCCTACATTTCAAAGAGTAATAATGCATTTTTACTGGACTTCAGTTATCAGACAGCTTAAGTTACTTTTCAGAATAAGATTTTGCTTAGTTAAATAAAAAACACAGGACAGACTTTTAACATTATGCATCTTTAAAGACTTAAACCGGTAGAATAACTGTTACAAAACGGTAACAAATATCAGATATATTACAAAAAAGTTAGAAAGAAAGTCCTACAGTAGATATGAAACCGTTGAGTATCATATAAAATGTTACAAAAGCAAACCTTTACTTGATACTACAATGTCAACAATCAATGTCATTCCATAATATTTTCTCAAATGGAGGACGTCTACAGCAGGAGGAGTACTTGTACTTGTGCTACTTCAAGTAAATTATTCTGACAGTACATTTTGAATGCTGTAATTTGACATTGATATATCGGTACTTTTACTTAAATAGAGGAAATGACTACTTCTTCAACCACTGATGAAAACAATCCAGCCCAAAGTGAATTCATGTAACCATTTCTTACTGTTGTGTACTTCCAAACATTGACATTGCTTATTTTCCCAGGGTAACCTACACTGTATTAAGTAAACTGTTAATACTACAGGAGAACACATGGGGACTGATGATGATCAGTTTGGTCCCTGTAATATCTATCAGAATGAATAATAATAAAATGACCCTAATGCTGCTGAAATTGCCAATAAGAGCACAGAGGGCTTCACATCTGATCAAGGGCATCACTTTGTGTTAAAAAGTAGTGGGACATAGGTGACGATTTAGAAATAGTCTTCAATAAAATGTTAGGCAATGCAATGTTAGGGATCAATTTTACTAAGATTGGGAGAAAAAAACAAGGAACTTTGTCAAGACATTTTCAAAGTGACCAAGCATGCATGATTTTGGTCATTTTATGGTGAGTAAAATAGGGTAGGATATTCTGTTTAGTTGATGACGTTGAACATTAATTCATTCTATATTAACATTGCATTTTGTGTTTTCATACTGTGTAAACAAACCTTTCTAAAAGCTTTTGTCATTTGTTACTTATCATTTCTTGGTGCAAGTTTTTTTTTTTTAACATGCTTACAATATTATACTTTTAAAAAGTAATAGGGACGAAATCACAAAAGGGTTTGGGACCCGTCCCAATAGTCCTCACTGTAAATGACACATGCAACAGATTGAACAAATAATAAAAGCTTTAACACCAGTGAGCACAGAGCACTGGTCACAGTGACAGCCGCTCAGATTACAATTTAAATGGAGATAATCCGATAAAGTGCGCACAACACGCAGCCTGCTTTACCTCCACGACAGCCTTTTATCCCGGACAGAGTTGGAGCTCTGGGTTACTCAGTTATCTCCATGGTGGACAACATGTCTCCCTCACAGTTGGACTTTAAGGACGCATGCAGGTCTTCAGAGAGACTTCCTGCGGCCGCATGAGGCAGGTCGGCGGCGCACATCGAGAAGCTGCAGGACTTCAAAACTCTCCCAGAGTTTGTCCTTGGACAGAGACACACACAAAAAACACACACACAAACACGCGCACACACACACACACGCACACACCTCAGTTTCACACTGCAACAGAGCTGTAATCCTCTGACACTCTGTGGGTGGAGCTGTGCGGCACACTGCAAATAATACTGCATCTATTCAGATTTAACACGGAGCACAGGGCTCAGAGGAGGACACTTTTTACAGTGTGCATCATATCAGTGACCAGGGGAACGCACCTGAGCAGAGGGACTGCTACTGGAGGAGGGAGGTTCACTTCTGATGCCACGAAATGCTTTTTACTGTATCTTCAAGACAAATGATTTAATATGTTAAGTTACTATAGGGCAACATACAATATAAGAAACAAATATAGAGTTTTGAACAAATGTGATTTGTTTTTAGTTCTGAGATTAAAGTTATAATTCTGACTTTAATCTCAAAACTGACAAGAGATTCTCAATAGTACGGTGGCCCTGAAGTGCAAGTCAAAACAGCATTTCAGGAAACACCACAGCATTTGAGAAAACGCCACAGCATTTGAGAAAACGCCACAGCATTTGAGAAAACGCCACAGCATTTCACAAAACACCACAGCATTTGAGAAAACGCCACAGCATTTGAGAAAACGCCACAGCATTTCACAAAACACCACAGCATTTGAGAAAACGCCACAGCATTTCAGAAAACACCACAGCATTTCAGAAAACACCACAGCATTTCAATTTATAAGTAAAGGATATTCCTTTAGGAGAACACTTCTTGTTTGTGATTGGACAGAGCCAGCCAGAGAACCACTGCTGTGATTGGTTGTTTTTGCTGCCAGTCAAGAAATGACGCTTCGTGATTGGTCTGCACCCGACAGCGCAACATGTCCCGAAACATCAGCCGTTAGCTGTTAGCACACAGAGCTCACAGCTCCTCATATCTGTTCAGAAACTGGACAAAAGTTAAACAAGAACAACCACAGACTCTCTATGTCATGGTGAATACAGTCGCTGCTTTATTTATGTCTGTATGACGTTGTTGTGAGTTTGGATGGAGCAGCTACAGGTTGGTTTATCCTGATCGATCCGATCTCCATTCAGAAAACACGCATTTTAAAAGCTTTTCGCCTGCGTCTTGTCTGCACCAAATGCTGTGGTGTTTTTTGTTTTTTTTACGCTGGATGTGAACTTGATTTCTATTTTATTAAGATTCTAGGTTTAATAAAGGATTTATCATTCTGATTATGAGGAAGTCCTACTCAGATCCTGTACTTCAGTAAAAGTACAAATACCACAGTGTAGACATACTCTGTTAACTTACAACTATAAAGTAAAATGGTTTCTTAGATAAAAGTACCAAAGTCTAGGCATCAAAATATACTTTAGGATCTGGACTTAAAAATATTAGCATGCATACACATCTCCATTGCTTCACCGATCTGCCATTTGTTCCCATTAATGCCTTTTAAAAGATTGATAAAGAATAAATAAATGTGTTACTAATTATTACTGACACCATCACTTTTAATGCATAGAATACATCCTTTCTAAAGTGTACTTTATTATTTATTTTTGTATAATTTTATTCAGCTGTAAAAGTTAATCAATTCAATATTGATTTATTTCAAATGCAAAACATATCAATAGTACTCTAAAAAGTGAATTGTTCACAGCACATTTCTTTTCAACGCTGCTTCATTTGCTGTCAAAGCTTTAAGAACCAAATAAGACCTACTAGTTTGAGACAACGTGACAAAATGTGCACCTCTTTCTGTTGGCGGTCTCTGACCTTGTTTATTACATTTTTGACCTGATATTTCTCACATGCTGCAGGTGAGAGGTGTTTTGAGAGAGTTAAACCAAGTATGTTACCAGTTCAAAGTGTCAGGACATGCCGGGGAGAAATCAAAGGGGGATAACAGAGGAACAATGTACTCAACCTCACCAGGCATCTCGAGGAAATGTTAGCGTTTCCTGGAATCTACCAAGCAGAATTGCATTAGTGAAAGAGTGGGAGGATTGGACGGGCTTCATGGAGTCAAAACATTCCATGAGCCTAGGTGATCAGAAAATACTCTCAACATCAAGTCTCAGTGTTCTAAGTCCTAATTGGATAAGAACATGCAGTGATCTACACGGCTCTCCTTTTGGTGCCACTAGACTATTGAGATGTTGTTTTGTTGTGTTTGTAGCTCACTTAACATGACACAGGAGGCATATTACCAACACCTGTAGGGAGAAGATGTAGAGCAACGAGTAACGTCTTCTAACAGATCTATTCCAGGCCCAGCAAGCAGAGATTAACCCTTGGCCTGGGATAATTACGTCACATCCCTTTAATCCCAAACAATTTAGCAGCAGCAGTCAAAAGACAAACTTCAGCAGTGGACATGTGGAAACATGTCAGGAGAGGAATTCTAGCACTACCAAATACATGCCAGAAGTGCTTCCGATGTATAAATGTGTGATTTAATTCAAATGACCACTGAAGTGAAATAATGTCTTGTTGTTTTGTAAAAGTATGAGTAAAGTATGATGATAAGGGTGGCAGTTACAGTACCAGGAACCTCTCAGTTGCACAATAGCAACAATAGTGTTTTAATGTTAGCTCTATGTGGACCTCTAGTGGTCATAAAGGGAACTCACACTCTAAACTGAATGTCAGTATTTATCAGTTATATCCAGCAGAGGGCGCCACTTGTGATCACGGAAATAATGTGAAATTAATTAGTTAAAACAGCAATCTGGGTATTTTAGTTTTTTTGTAATTGTCAAATACACATGACTCAAGGAAATAATAAGTACTAAACTTAACTATCTTTAATATTGCAAAAGGGTTACTTTAATGTTCCTGTTTACACATATTACACAATCATTATTTAGGTCATTTTATCAAATGTACCCTTTTTTTTATTAAAACATAATTGCTTTTCAGTAAAAGTGCCAAAATCAAAGGTTAGAGTATAGCTCAAAGCAATGTATGATCAGAATATATAATCTAGTGTTTTGTTTAGTTACCACTTCCGAATTGGTCAGAATATTCTTCTATTTTTCAGACAGCTGGGTCCTGGCTTTTTCTTTCTTTCTTTGCTTTCAGTGTGTTTTTGTTTTATGATGTTTTGTCACATTCGTACATATGATTCAATGCAATTCAATTCAATATGCTTTTTTGGGAACAGCAGGTGTCATATTCTGTACAGATTGCTAAACCCCCTTGGAGCAAATTTGTAATCTGTGATGTTGGACTATAAAAATAAAATAGACTTGATTTAACAGGTGTTAGAGGGGACATGCATCCGCTTCTTCTGGAACTTCCTGCTGCCTGATCCTCTTTCAAACACACACACACCACCACACACACACACACACACACACACACACTACACACACACACACACACACACACACACACACACACACACACACACACACATCACCACACAACACACACACACAACACACACACACACACACACACACACACACACACACATCACAACACACACACACACACACACACACACACACACACCACACACACACACACACACACACACATCATATCCCCAAGCAGGGGGAGGATAAGCATAACATCTAATAACACCAGGAAGAAGAGCAGGAAGATTCATGGGAAAAAATGCAACCGTTCCGTTGCCAAATCCCTTCCCACATCTATACATAGCTATCAGGCTGTACTGATGTATAATGGATGAAATCAAAACATTTGTATTCAAAACTGGATATATGTATTGAATACACAGATAGAGGCACGTGCACACTGACCATCTTCTTATGAGCTCTATTATCATACACGTGACCTCACAATAATTTTGAAAGCCAAAACGGTACTGATATTATTGCCAACTTATATTATCTGAAATAATTGACCAGCTACTGATATAATAATTGTGTTTATAGTTATCAATTTCTTTATTAATAAAAGTTCCTAGTTTATGGTCAAGTAAAGTATTTTTCTGGACTAGATTAACTGGAAATAGTTGTTCTAAGACATAATAATTGATTGGCAGGCGTTGAAACATTACAGTAAGATATTAAGTGACTCACCTTTCTAAATATGAAGGTTTAGTTGATTCACTTCAACTTTAGACAAGGTCTCTGACCCATTCACTCATGCATCAACACCACAGTCGAACACATTACTTTAGCAGTGCGTACTCAAGTGTGGCCTTGGTCAAATGTATAGACCTGGTGGCAGAGTCGGAGAGGGACAATTACGAGTGGCGGGAGGGCAGGAAACGGCTGTAAAAGCACTTTGACAACAACAAAGATCCTTAAAGGTGGGGTAGGTAAGTTTGAGAAACCGGCTCGAGATACACTTTTTGTTATATTTCATGGAATGCTCTTAACATCCCGATAGCAATGAATATCTGAAGTGCTTTGACAAAAAAATCCATTAAAAAATGTCATCTGTGGAAGCCGTAATACTGTAAAAAGCACGACCAATTATTTTAGCCGGCCCGGCTAAAATGACTGGATGGCCTACCTGCCTGTCAGCCTTCCATCTGTGCACAAACTTATCTCGTGCCCTCATTGGTCATGTGCGCGTTCGTGTGTGTTGGAGGAGGGGCTCTGTAAGGAAGTGGCAGTTTTTTTCCGGCTGTGTATTTTCAAATTCTAGCGATCTCGAGCTGATTTCTCCAAAATTACCTACCCCACCTTTAACTCTCATTGTAAGTGTCAACATTTTCTTCATGACCCAACAAGTTTGTATTTTGGCAATTACATGAGTTCAGAAATGAAGCCGTCACTAAAACAATAAGATAGAAGTATGCATTGTAATTTTCACACCAATATACTATTATTATTAAGCTATATTTTATGTCAATACAAATACAAAAAAGATAGTTCTACCATATTTACTTTGTGTATAACAAACACAACTTTATTAATTGGATGAGTAAACAGTAATGAAAGTGTTTAAGATCCTAACAAGAACACTAATATTTGGGTGCAACCATAATCAGTGAGTAATACAGGGTAACTTTATTATAGGTCAGAGGGGTGGGTGGCTTCAACAACTTCAGGCTTTAGGACCTGGGGGTTGCAGATTCTTCTCCCACTGCCCCTCACTATGGGCGGAGGAAGATTCCTGAGCAGAGATTTTAATGCTCTGTGAACCGGGCAGAGCAATTCCTGCAATTGTCTCATACAATTCTATGTTTGACTGCCATTTACATTATCCTCACATACAGCAGATCAGGGGATCTTTTTGCAGAAGCTTCAGGACAACCTGCTGAACTGTTGAAAGAGCCCAATAAGGTAAGATAAAAGTTCTGGAAGTAAGGGGGGGAGGGAAAGTATGCAGTGTAGTGTTCAACTTGTGGGAAATGCCCAGGCATGTGAGAAGAGGCCACAAACTCAGATCTGGGATAAGGAGTCAAATATTCCATTGTAGTCCTAAACTGTGTGATTCTTGCAAGTTGTTTTAAAAAATGTACAAAACGTAAAAGTATGTTGCTTGCAAGTATACATGCACATGAGTTCAGAGAATTAGGGAGGTGGCTGTAGAACATGCAGAAAATAACATAAAAACCAAATGGATTTTCATTAAAAGAAACATAGTATGATTATCACATGCAGTGTTACCTTAACATGCTATTCAGATCATATCATCAGCAGTTGATGAATCTATTCATCCTTGGTCTTTCTGTTTTCAAGTTGCAGCACAATAAAAAAATGTATCTTCCAACACTAATCATTTCAAATAACTGGAAAAGTTGCTGTTAATTGAGTTATACAGACAATAAACTCTAAAACGTAGCCGTTTGCCATTGATCTCTTTAATGCACATTGAAGTAAGCCCATCTCTAACCCTAACCCTGGCATTGGTTGAGTGTGTGTCAGCATGTGATCACTTTTTCCACGTCATGGGAAACTGATCAGCATCAACCAGACTCGTTCCTCTAGAGATTTTTTTTGAAAACTTAAATCGTGTGTGTTGCCAAGACATGAAGAACTCGTAGCTGGCCGCATTTGTTTCTTCTTGACATCCTGTAGCTGCCTACGTGTCTGTGGTGTAGGTCTAGCCTCGAGGTTTATTCGGGAGAGACATTTTTGAATGTCAAGGCTTAACCCAACTTGCCCTGCTATTATCCTTAAAAAATGCCTATGAGGTGCTAAAAAAAAAGGCTTCCAATTTGGAAAAATAAGTTAAGATATGTGAAACTAAAACAGAACAAATTAGCCAAGATAAGAGTTTGGCTCGCTTAAATCAGTACATTAATAAGATTTGCTTTATATCTTTCTTTATCTTTGATTAGCATTCCAACATGTGGGTGCAAAGCCTGATGGCCCTGGTCCTCCTGGCTACTTCTGCTTCAGCTGCTACCTCGGCTTCACCAAAGAAAGTCCTGAGCAAACACGCCACCATCCTGGCTGACAACAGTGCAAAGTTTGCCTTCAGTCTCTACCAAAAAATGGCTAAGGAAAAGGACGTAGAAAACATCCTGATCTCCCCTGTAGTGGTGGCCTCCTCTCTGGGTCTGGTTGCTCTTGGGGGCAAAGCCTCCACTGCCTCTCAGGCGAAAAACATTCTGAATGCGGCTAAAGTCAAAGATGATCAACTGCACTCTGGTCTGGCTGAGCTCCTGTCTGAGGTGAGTGACCCAAAAACCCGCAATGTCACCTGGAAGATCAGCAACCGTCTCTATGGACCCAGCTCCGTCACCTTTGTGGATGAGTTTGTCAAGAGCAGCCAGAAGCACTATAACTGTGATCACTCCAAGATAAACTTCAGAGATAAGAAGAGCGCCGTGAACTCCATCAACGAGTGGGCGTCCAAGTCTACTGACGGCAAACTGTCCGAAGTTACCAAGGATGTGGAGAAGGCTGATGGGGCGATGATCATCAATGCTATGTTTTTCAAACGTGAGTATTAAACCTGCAGATGTGCAATATAATTCCTTTAAATGCTCTTAAAACTAACTGATTTGTATTCCTCACAGCTCATTGGGACGAGCAATTCCATCATAAAATGGTGGACAACCGTGGATTTGTGGTATCCCGTGGCTACACTGTTTCATTACAGATGATGCACCGCACCGGTAGGTTGGGACAGTCCAAGTATATATTCAGAAACAAAATTCATTAAAATCTTTTAGGGAAATATTCTCAAAGGTTCTCAATACAACATACAGAGCAGCTAAAAACTATTTAATATGTAAAGATATAGCGGGGTAATGTCTACCTGACTAGTAACTAATGAAGTCATTCTCCCTAAGTGTGTGTCGTAATCCCAGATTCTCAGTGCTTTAGTTAAGTAGCCAGTGAGTGCTGTTCTTTTTGATGGTGGGCCGAAAAAGGCATTGCGCTGGTTTCCTTCACAAAAGCTGATGGGTTTTTTACTGACATATTTTATGTTGTAGAACAAAACGTTAAAATCTCCTAAATTACTTAACCACAGACCTTATGTTGTGCATTTAATGTTGACTCATTTCAGGGCTCAAGGACTCATTCCTCCATCACTTGATGGCCACCACTGCTCTGTGGTGATGGCGGGGTTACTGCTGATAGCACCTTCTTAGCCCACTGAACTGAAGAAACTGAAACATTGACTATAATTAAATGTATTATGTCAACAGATTTAGGTTAAACTTAATATTATAGCTTTAAAATAACCTAATACAGTGAAATGTGAAATTGTGTGTGGCCACCCTCCAGCTTATGTTATAACACTGTTGGTCCCTTAGCTGCTAGCCACTTTCGTTTCGCAAATAGCCATTATAAGAGACGTGTGCAGGCAAGTGTTAAAAGAACAATTGCCCTTTATATAGTGGGATTAAATGTTCAACTGTGTCTGAGCAGCAATTTTTGGGTTGGTGTTGGAAATCACTAACTTTTTTTTTACAAATGGTAATTTCTTTATTTAGGTTTTGTATGGATCAAACAAACAATATATAGAGTGTTGATTAATCAGCAAAAGAGCTGTTGGTGGATACAAATTGTAATTTGGACAGAGCCAGGCTAGCTGCCCTCGCTTACAATCTTTAAGTCAATTTCTTTTTTGAAGTTAGGAGAAACACAATAAAAACAAAAACAACTTAAAGGCATTTTAAAATAAGTCAGCAGTGATGTGGCAGTGCAGTGTGTGTAGTTTATTGTCTGTGAACAAATGCTACAACTCTTCCACCTGCTGATTAAAGTGAGGGTGCTCTGTTAGCCCCCGAGCTAGCAGCGACAACGGCTCAAGTTTAAGGTGGAATTACTTTTAATGTGGGCAAGCTATTCCCATGTGACAAGCCACTTTACTTTCAGTCTGTACACAGAACAAATAAAAGTAACTCAAAGAAACAGAAACATCTTATGACCAGAAAAAGAACAATTTAGCAATATAAAAGAGTCTACAACAGAAAGTGTAAGGTGTTTTCAAAACGTTATTGTTAGCAGATAATGCTAATTATGTGTAATACATGTCATTTATTTCCACAGGTCTCTATGGCTTCCTTGATGACAAAACGAATAAGTTATCCATCCTGAGCATACCTCTGGCTCATAAGAAGTCCACTGTGGTGTTCTTTATGCCCCACCATGTGGAATCTCTGGAAAGGCTGGAGAAGCTGCTGACCCAGAAGCAGCTGGATAAGTGGATGGGCGCGCTGAAGCAGACAGCAGTAGCTGTGTCTCTGCCCAAAGTCAGCATGGAAGTCAGTCACAACCTGCAGGTAAGACACTAAAGATGACCACATCTCTTAACTTCTGATTTAATTGCTGTTTTATACAATTTGAATTACACACTAACTTCCTGCTCCCTTCATAGAAACACCTCGGGGAGTTGGGCCTGACAGACGCTGTAAACAAATCCAAAGCTGACTTTTCCAAAATGTCTGGGAAGAAGGACCTCTACTTGTCCAGTGTGTTCCACGCCTCAGCCCTGGAATGGGACACTGATGGAAACGAAATGGACACGAGCATCTTCGGCACAGACAAGCTGAAAGACCCCAAACTGTTCTACGCAGACCACCCTTTCATCTTCCTCGTGAAGGACGAGAGCACCAAGTCAATCCTCTTCCTCGGCAGGATGGTCCGGCCAAAGGGTGACAAGATAAGAGATGAATTGTAACCATATAAAGTAAAGCTTAACGGTGTTTGTATTTTTTGTCTATGTTTTATTTCGCACTAGAGCATTCCTTCACATTACAGGCCGCCAGCATTCCACAACACACGGCTAAAGAGATGTGTTTAAACATTTCATCCTGTATTTAGTTAGCAAAGCTTTTTGCACACCTATCCTTTTTATCGTGATGAGTATTTCATATCACTATGTCCCATTTTAGTTTGCATTGGCAGCACACAATACGCACTGAAAACTTCATTCAATAGGATCATCATGATTATTGCATAAAATGTAAATGCATTGGTATTGTGCCAGCACAAAAATTGTCTCAGTCTTAATATTTTTTTGTACAAGCTGTACAATAATCTTACTTTTGTAGAGCTGTGCGGTGTGATCCAAAAAGTTTGTAAAGCACACTGCTTTTTTATGTGTCAACTCCAAGGATGTTCACAATTTCTCGCACATCCTTTGCAATGCTTTCAACCAAAAGTTCTACAATATTTATATTTGACCAAGAGGCTGAAATGCTATTATAAGGTTATTGATCCTCTCTGGATGCACTCATCTACACTGGTAAACAAACCAAATTGTGACCAATTTAAGACTTATCTATAAAACAATGTTTCTGCAAATGATCTGACAATTTCAAACTTGAATGGTTTTACACTGTTACAAATGTCCAGTTTTTGCAATAAAAGTATATATATATATATAAAGAAAAAGGTGTCATCCCTGTTTCAGATATTTTCTGTTGAAATTGTTCCTTTGTGTGAGAGAAGACTTTCTGTTTGCAATAGCAGTTTAGCCTCCGGCAGGTCTGTTGCCTGCAGTGGGATTATCCATCTGAATAACATGAGAACATTCCAGAGAGGGGGGTTGTGTGACCCCCTGGGCAGCCTTACTTCAGCAGGAAATGTGATAGGTGCAATCGTGCCATAGTAAACATTGCCTCTTTATCAATGAACTGTAAATATTTAGACAAAACAAAAATATTTAGGACCATCCAGCTGGGTTCTGCAGCTGCGCCAATGAGCAAAGCATTAAAAAATATAAGTGCCACACCACCTACATCCAACATTAGGTTCCCAATGAAAACTACAAGAATAACAGTCAACATTGAGCAAATCCTTCATTATTTATTGGAAAGGGTTTAAATAAAAGATCTGAATATTATAATCTAGTTGGAGAAGACTAATTTTGAGATTAATCAAATCAGTAAACATGAGAGTTGTATTGTCACAACCAGGGGCGTCGCCTGGACCTGAAAACATTCGGGTCTTAGCCCACAGTGGCGGCGGCACTACAGTGGCATTTTTTACTGCAACACTCCCCACACGCACACACACAGTACACCCGCGACTGTTACAATGAAGGCTCGATAATCAGCTCACGGCATATAGGCAGGGGTAAAGTGGTATTTTTTATGAGTGGGTGGCTCACCTCCTCTAGGGGGTCCGGGGGGATGCTCCCCCGGGAAGATTTTTTTTTTTAAATATTGAAGTTAAATGCATCAATCTGGTGCACTTTGAGAGCAAAATGAAGAGATCTATGGATACCTCTCTCAACACCCATATGAAGCAGAACTGTAAACAGATGTACTTTTTCTTTATGGATATTTTACTAATCACTCCCCTTTTAAACTCTATTCTTGTTTTACTGCCATATAGTATTTCATAACTGTTTTTCCTTTATTCTCTTTTTTTTAATAACTATAATGATCATATGAAGGTGTGCCGCGGAAATAATCTTTTGAATAATTTGTGACCAAACCGTTTGAGACCCACTGAGATAACTTAGACTAAAGTTAACTATCTAAACACTCAGAAAGTCCTTTAGCTCACCTGAGTCTCTCAGTCTGAGAGGAGAGGACTCTCCTCCAGCTTATGTCCGTTAGCGCAGCTAGCTAACCAGATGCTAACAACACGGTCCATGCTGACACCGGTCTCTCCCTCCCCCTCTCTCCCTCTCCCCCTCTCTCCCTCTCTCCCCCTCTCTCTCTCTCTCACATGCGCTATTGCCACACACACACACACAGAGCCGAGCTTGAATGACACACGTTTATTTCCATGCAACTCTCTGATTGGTCTGGTGTCATGCCTCTGTTGCATTCACTGAACACGGGAAATTACAGTGCTGCCGTCCTCTCTTGTGTCATGATGAGGTTCACGTAAAGCACGGTTAATGTATTATATTATTGAGGGAGAATTGTCCGGGGCTACAGAAAAAACATTCGGGGCTAAAGCCCCGGATGCCCAGGCCAGGCGACTGTATCACACCATCTAGAGGACAACTGCGGTTCATGACAGAACAATGATTGTTTGTCATCTAGTGGAAAACTTGAGTACTTAAGCAAAAATATATCATAAGACATTTATTTAAGCTTCAAATAAAAATGTGCACTCTCAATTAATATATCGAAGTATTGTCTATATGGTTGACATAAAGTTAGCAAATGTCAGCCTGTATCTTATTTCAAAATTATTCAAAGGAAAACTGATATGTAACTGTTAATTATAGATCCATAAATCAATCCAATCCAAAAATGATGTGACAATAAAGGCCCTGACACACCAAGCAGTCACCAGAGAACTCGCCGACGCCGACTGTTGCGTCGCCATGTTCTCCTGCGTCTTGGCCATGTGTCGCACTGGAACACACCGCAAAGACTTCAGCCGAGCACGTACGAACTGCACATGCGTGAGTGGGAATAACTCTCCTTACCAGCAGGCGGCGGTAGTGTGTATTCGTCATTCAAAAGAGGCAACAACCGGAAGACAGAGAAGAAGAACAGACTGCGTGATCTAAACAAACAACAAATAGAGTGGCGAAGTCACGCCCATCTACTTCCGCCCCATGGGACCTTATTTTCGGAAAAATAATGTATTGAAGTCAATGGAGAGAGAAAACTTATCTTTCGATCCCGTTTGAATTGTGCCATGAATTACACATATGATGTTTGTCAATCTTAAAAAATAATTTCCATGTCAAAAAAGTCACAGTTTGTCGTAAAACTGTTGAAATATAAGACTATGAAAAATACGTAACTAGAAAGACTACAAATCCCAGAGTCGCGTAAGTGATGTCACAATTGTTTTCCTCCACTAAGAGATAGCTAAGATCATAGATATAATCTATCTATATGGCGCTGGCTAAGATAAGATAACTTTAACAAGATGCCTGTGTGCTTAGTACCAGGTTGTTATTATACCAGCAATGGGTCTTGCTCGTTCTTTCGCTTCCCGTCTGATGAAAGGACCAGGAGTACTCTGGATCATGTTAGCTAGTAGCTAGCACGTTAGTTAGCATTACAGCCTTGTCATTTTTATTAGCCTTAACATGAAGTAACATTAAGTAACCCAAAATGTTAAATAGTAAGAGTAGTAGTCATATTTCGTGAACCCTTTGAAGAGTACTGTCACCGGTGTGATCATTCTATCATACACAATTTAAGCCCGGGGGAGAAATGCTAACGCTAACGCTAGCGATCTTCTCTACTTCATGCTATCTGCACAAATGGTTGACATTAAACATTAAAACGACCAGGCAGTTCAGAGAGAATCAAAGGAAGGCAGGCAGGCAGCTTTGCATGACATTCTTCAGGACGTGTTTCATTGTGGTGATAATGAGGGTAGTCAATCGTTTTGTTGACAAGACAGTAGTGACGGCCATCTTGGTGACGTGTGTTGTTGACCGGAGATGTAGTTCATTGAGCGTTTCACACAAACAAATGTGTTACTACACAGTTTTACGACACATTTTTTTTTTTTTACTTGCAAAATTATCTTTTAAATTGACAAACATCATATGTGTAATTTGTGGCACAATTCAAACGGGATCGAAAGATAATCTTTCTCTCTCCATTGACTTCAATACATAATTTTTCCGAAATAAGGTCCCATGGAGGTCCACCGGAAGGGGAGGGACTTCGCCACTCTATAGCGAGTTCAGTAAAGTTGGAACGATATTGGCAGATTCGGATTTCACGGATCAATAATTCATGAACAAAACGTTGTTCAGACACAAATTACGTCTCCTAAGTACCGTGGTAAGGTTGACAACGAACTACAATCACATTTTGATCAAAAAAAGCCAATACATGCTGTCCTCCAAACTGGACACATTACATTGGTCTCTATCTGCGGCCAGAGAAGAAACGAGTGCTCAGGGACCGTCTGCAAAGTGCAACTCCGAAAAAAGAGAATACAATAATATTCAATAACGTTACTATTGTAGGCTACGGTATATTTCTACCAAACTCACTACACACATCAATAGTCTCCTGGTGGTCATACTACAGCAGAGAGTTTGGAAGAATATGGTTTTGAATAATTTTGGTGAATATTTATAATGTAAAATCTTCAATAAATATGGCATCATCTTCAATAACGTTACTAGTGTACAGTATATTTATACCAAACTCACTACACACATCAATAGTGTCCTGTTGGTCATACTACAGCAAGAAGTTTGGAAGAATGTGCTTTTGATTAATTTTGGTGAATATTTATAATGTAAATTCTTCAATAAATATGGCATCATCTTCAATAACGTTACTATTGTACAGTATATTTCTACCAAACTCACTACACACATCAATAGTCTCCTGGTGGTCATACTACAGCAGAGAGTTTGGAAGAATATGGTTTTGAATAATTTTGGTGAATATTTATAATGTAAAATCTTCAATAAATATGGCATCATCTTCAATAACGTTACTAGTGTACAGTATATTTATACCAAACTCACTACACACATCAATAGTGTCCTGTTGGTCATACTACAGCAAGAAGTTTGGAAGAATGTGCTTTTGATTAATTTTGGTGAATATTTATAATGTAAATTCTTCAATAAATATGGCATCATCTTCAATAACGTTACTATTGTACAGTATATTTCTACCAAACTCACTACACACATCAATAGTCTCCTGGTGGTCATACTACAGCAGAGAGTTTGGAATAATATGGTTTTGAATAATTTTGGTGAATATTTATAATGTAAAATCTTCAATAAATATGGCATCATCTTCAATAACGTTACTAGTGTACAGTATATTTCTACCAAACTCACTACACACATCAATAGTCTCCTGGTGGTCATACTACAGCAGAGAGTTGATGAAATGCTGGAGAGAGAGAGCATTCTGTGTCAGACCCCCCTCGAACCTTAGCCGTGTTCACACCGGAGTACTTTTCACCGTACTTTTCGCGTTTAGTTCCGTTAGTACCCCTTATGTCGCGTTCACACCAAAAAGAGCACTTAATCTCGGGAACTTTTACCCCCATTTTTAGTGCCTGCTGAGAGATGGTACTTTCATGGGGGAAAAAAGTGCCCCAGTTCTGATTGGCTGGGCGAATTGCAAACCACGCCCCGTACAACCAAGCCCCCAGGAAGTGCGCCGGACTCAGATGAAAATATTCGTGGTGGCCAAACGGCGGTACTACACTTCCGTTTGGTTGCCAGGCCCGGAAACACTTTTTCCCATTGACTTACATGGGGAAAGAGTGGTCTGTAAATCGTTGGATAATTTTTTTTAAACTAAATAAACTACCCAGTATGAACACTTGTATAGCCATTATTAAAAACATTCGTTCCTCAAGTTGTAAAAATGTGCTAATAACGTTATTCTGAGAGTTATTTCCCTCTGCATTATGAATGCGCATCTAACCCACGGGACCGCGCCTCCCGGCACGTTCATGTTACGTG